AATTAAGATTCAGTAAACCTGAGATGAGTTTTTCAATTTAACCTTACAGTTCAGACAACTCCATTTATGTTTATTAATTCTAATTTAATTTCTAGACCAGAAAAGGTCTAGCTAATCACACACCGCACACAAAAAATAATTTCTGATAGTATAACTGTTTCATACTCTGCAATTCTTATACCACACAAATCTAGAGTTCTATATTATATTCTAAGTGCAGAAATAGGCCTTCCAGTAAATCTTTCCAATTTCATATAGCAACCTATTCTCCTGTTATGAAATAATTATATTTGCAACTTCTCCTACCAAACATGAAAAGTTCCAGCATTATAAATACATCACAAAGCTTAATTTTTTTCCTTTATAAAAAAGAAAAAGAATAAAGGAACATACACCAGAAGGTAAGAAATTTCATGACTGAAAAAGAAATCAAACACCATGTGCACAACAAGGCACTGCCTCCATATGGAAAGGCATTAAGGCTTCCTGAAAGGCTGTCTTTTCCATTTAATTCTGAAAGGCCATGAAACGCCTGCACTAATGCAAGTAACATTCTTGTTTGAGTTCAAGGCACATGAAAACATTGCATATAGGCAGCCACACTTAAGCAATAAAAGTACAATCACGCTAGTTACAGTCCAGATGTACTTCTTGTTTCCAGTAACACAATTTGTGATGGGTTAAAAAAAAACAAAACAAAACCTCAAAACTTTACAAAAATACATATAGTACTGGCTCTATGATTATATAAATGCACAGGTACACTCAGCAAAGAAAATATCAAAGGGGAAAAAACCTCTGCTATTTATCTTTTTCAGTACACTCTCCCTTGAGAAAAGCATTGGTTGTTGCCTAGGATTTGTTTAAAGTCACTGAATTAGTAATAGGAATTGCCACACTTACTGATCAGCCTTTTGAAGAGGAAAGTACATTAGAACAGAAGTCTCGAGCAGATTAGTGCAGAGAGCATTGACTGCATACAGTGATCAGCTCCTCTAGTCCCATTTTTGGGCACTGGTACCCTGGGCAAGCTGAGGAGGCCCACAGAGGGAGAGGCCAGTGGGGTCTGATGGCTGGGGCAGGGAACATGAGATCTTAGAGGTCTGGGAGAGTGGGACACTGACAGAAACCTGGGGATCACAGCACTTGGGGAGACCGCAAGTTATGAAATGCCTTTGAGAAAACAGACGGGGAGGTGTCTCCAGTCTCCAAGAGATAACCAGCACCAGTAACTCAGCTGCAAGCTAGAAAATATTAAGCACAGAAAGAAACAGAAAGCCATAAATATTAGCATGAAATCTCAAGAGGAAATAACAGAGAAGCTTTAAAGCTTTTCTTACCCTGTAAGCAAAGCAAATGTTCCTTCAGCTTCTATCAATAATATTTCCAGGACACCTGCAGTGACTGTCTTTGTGTGTCAGCATAAGCATCCATCCCACTGCACACACAATGACAGCATGAGTATCCAAATACTGAGGATCAAAGGCCTGATCTTGAGGTGTGTAGGTCTTTTCCCACCAACAGCAAAGGAACCTGAAGGTACTCTGCACCTGATAGCATCAGGGTCACTGAGCAATGAGATGGAAGTTTTGTGTCTGAGTGTGCCCGAGGTAACATCTCCTACAGAGCATTAACTTTGGACAGCTCTTCCTTTTTAGCACAAAGGATCTATTATAGTGCTCTTCATGAAAGTGCTTTAAAAGTAAATATAACTCAGTACCTGAGGCAGATCCCATTTCATGCTGTGCCGTGAGGCTGCCTTAGGTGGATTTAGTAGGGCATCTTAAAGAAGAGAAAATATCTCACATTTTTAAGCATTCCTATTTATAGATTCTGATTAAGATTGTATTTTAGTTCATAAACCTCCACAAACTGCACATACAAACGTCTTGCTACCTAATTCCTCATGATTACAGTTAAACCACCTTGTATGGAAATTTCCAGATACAGAATATTTACCTAGAAAATTATCAGAACTGTTGCAGTAACTCATCTGCACCATACTTAAGTACTTTCCAAAGGGCATTTACAAGGGAAACATAGTAAACCCACTGTATTGTATTACTGAGAGTAATGCTATTGTAGGAATTTTAATCTACAAGTTAGTTTTTGGCTTGCATGTACCAGTGTCCAGGACTGGGTTTGGTCTTTTTTGTTCCCCTTCTGAGTCTAGATTTTTATTAGAAAAGTTAGTCATAAAGAACAGTTATTAGCTCTTCAAAACATCACTGTCCCTGTATTTAGGACCAAGATTATTTTTGTTTGTTTGTTTGTTTTCATGATAATTATCTTGTACAAATTTGGCCAATTTTTTTCCTTCTCTTCTGAAAAAAAATATTGATCTAACAGTATGGCCATACTAAATGAAGATATCAGAGTTGGCCCCCCACCCCAATGTTTTGTATAAGTAAATTTTAAAAATAGTTGATAAACTCCAGGAATTTGGATGCCCTTACATTTAAGAAGACAATAATAAGGAAGGCTCTATATAAACACTGAACAGTTATTATCAGTCTGTCCTCAAAACTCCCTTTGTCAAGTACAGATGTCCTACTACCCACGTGCTACAAACAGGCAATTTAATAAATCTGTGTGAAAAAGCCATGGAAACCTTATTTGACTGCACAGCTTCCTGACATCTCACAGGCATCTTACTTTGCACAAGGAAACCGAAACAACATCTAGAGTTCTCCAGACTGCACACACCTAAAGGTAACACCATGCTGCCATAGCAGAATTAACTAGTACCTATGCTGGCAATAACTACTTACATCTCCATCTGTTAGCTTGCTCTAATGTCACCTACTATGTCTCAAAATTACCATGTTCAGTCCAGTTGAAAAGACAGAGCCACTTTCTTTCAAAGGAAGAGAAGACTTGGCCATTACCCATCTTTAGTATACAGGCAAGTGTTAAATATTTAATATACAGTAATGTTTAAGCCATTCAACTAGAAACTGGATGAGCTGGCTCTAACTGAACACCTTGAGAACATTAAGCTGACACCTCCCTTCCATGCCAGATGAAATTCTTAGGCTACCTTTTGTCCCCATGCATCTCATGATTATTCTCAAAACTTAAAGACACATGACTGTAAACTCTCATTTTGCCTTAAGAAATCTGAAAGAAGAAGGTAACGAAACCTACTACATCTCTAACTCTCTAAAATTTCTACCACCCTCACTAAATATTAAAGAGTCCAATAAAAACACCAGGGGTGAACTGCCTGGACCTGCACTGCACTGCACTGAAGGGACAACCTGAAGGGACAGCTGTGGGTTACCACTGCCCACTCATGTCTCCATTGCTGACCTTGTGTTCAGTGTCTCAGTACTACATCAAAGAAGGGAGACTTTCCAGATTCCCAGATACTCCACAATTCAGCGTGCTCCTCCCAGCTCTCTTGGCTTCCTCCTCTTTCACAGGTAATCACATTATCCACCTAGAAGGGCTCAGTTTGTCAGTGCCCTCCTGCCTTCACACTGATCGTGCTGCATTACTCCGCTATGACAGGTGAAAGCTTGCAAGGTTCAGTAAAAGCAGGAGGGAGCTAAAGGCTCCAAGAAGAGCCAGGCAAATGGAAAAGTGCAATCATCAGTGCTGCAGTGGCAGGCACTGGGTTTATTTTAAGGGCTTCTTAAGTCTTACACTGTCAGCAAATCTGTCAGGCTTGCAAGGCCCTTGCTGTACTGATTGTAATTCTCCACTGAAGATGTGCAAAGCTTAGAGATGTAGTAACAAGCAAGGGTCCAAATGTGATATATTTTCCCCTTGAACTCTAGAGGAGAAAATACATGATCATTATGATGATAAGGAATATAAACCCACCACACACTCAGGCTTCAAAAAAGTCTGTGGTGATGTACGAACTCCTCAAGTAAAACCAGGTACTTCTCACACATGAGCACAGCTCCAGCACATACATCCTGGGACATGCTGGTGCCTTATTTCTGCCAAAGAACAGACTATGTGAGGGTAGAAGTACTTGCCTTCATTACTGGCAAAGCTATCCATTCTCTAATGCCTCAAGCATCCTTTCCAATGACCACAGTGCCCAGGAGTTTCAAACAGTCATCAGCTTCTGCTGAATGGCACTGCCAAGGAGATGGTATTGAAATATGTGCAAAGACAAGCTCACCCAAAACACATTTTTTTAATGTAGGAAAATTCTTGTTTGAACTCTGTAGCCATAACTTAGGGAAGCTTCATCTGTCACCAAGGTCATGGGCAGTACAGGGTTACTAAGCGCTCAACATAAGGTGCAGCAGCAAATATCCCAGATGCCTGTCAAGTCCACAGGTTTGGCCAGAAAATTACCAGTCAGGCATTTGCCAACATTTACTCTTTCCTCAGCACAGCAGCTTTGCTGCAGAGTCAGGCCCTCCCAGAACATGCCAAATTCCACATGCCTCCGTAAGAAACTAAGAATTCATCCCAGAACTGTCCCCCATTCCTGGGACAAGTGGCAATTAAACTCCATAGGATGGCTGAGGCAGTCATAAAGCTCAGAGTCCTCCAAAAGGACACTGAGTACAGAGAACAGTCACATACTGTACAGTGCAAAATAAGCTTTAATTGTTATCACATTTGTTTTCCGGTTTGACAAGTGCAAGGCAACTGTATTAACCTTATATAGAAGAGCTGCTGGCAAGGAGCAGACCTGAAAGTGAACCAATATTAAACTCCGTGGATTACCTACCACAACGGGACACTAATAAGCAAATAGAGATGACATTTCAAAATGGGACAGCTGTTCTTGTTGCAGCCAGGCAGACACTCAGAGCCCACCAGTTGAATTGTCCCATACATGTTTTCACACAGGCCACCCTTGTTCACTAGAACCAGATGAGATCAGACACAGTCCTGCCACACTTGACTGAGAAACGGGCCATCCTTACTGAGTGAGGCCTCAAGTTCAGAAAAATTACATGCATCAAGGTACAGCCTTTGGGCTTTATCCCTCTAGCTGATGACAGACAGAAAGAGAATTAAAATATTACCTGTTCTTAAGGGCAACCTGGCAAAAAGTATCTCCAGCACCAGCATATGTCATTTGAAATGCACTAAAAATATGAAGATTTCTAGTCTTTTCTGCCCTATTATAATGGTCCATTAGTCTGTCCACTTCCTCATTAGATTAAAATTTATTCCATTTTAATTACAATTACCAGTCTGTGACAGGGCATCTCCAAAAGCTTCCTTGATTCCCTGAGCCAGCAGACCACGCACCATAAACACTTTCTCTGCTTGGAAGTAGTGTAGGATGCCTGGCTGTCTTGACACAACAGGTGATTATGGAGTTTCTCAGGAAAACTGGCAGTCAAACTCTCATGTCTGGAGCGAGAAGTGCCAGGAACTTCTTATGTCCCACCAGGTTCTTCCACCTTAGAGGCTCACAGCTGCACCAGATCCCCATCCTACATAGTCTTGTTGCAGCTCTGCTTCATCCACCCTCTTGGTAAGCTTTATTTTGGCCTGGTGGCAATTGTACAGGTCTACTGGAGCCAGGAGTTCAAGATGTTACACAGTTGGTGTGCCCTCTGCAGCCTGGACTTCTGCTGGAGAAGTAGTGGGACACGGGAAAACCTGTTGCACTGAGCCACTCTGCCTGATGACTCTGTGAAGAAAGCAAGGGTCAAGGCTGTCACTCCTAACTGACTGTCTTGACCACAGCTGGGTCAGACTAACACAAGCAGTAGCTGAGCAGGTTCATTTCCTTCTAGACAGTCTGAACAACCTGCTCTTTCTCTGAGCAAAAAGACTTTTAAGGTGCTAGGTCCGGTTCATGCAAAAGACCCTGTTCTCCGAGCCCAGCTTGTCCTCATCCCTGCCTTCATGTGACTACAAACTCAGAACCGCTCCCTTCAAAATTGCCTAAAGGTAACCCAACTTACCCTCCCTCTCCCAAACACAAGACCCAAAACCGACTCACCAATGTCCTAATCCTGCATGCCATCCAGGAGGAGTGAGGAAGAACTTTCTCCTGCATGATCTGAAATGGAACAAGCCCTCCTCCATGTCAGCTGGCATTTGTGCACGGTTCAGTCAGAGGGCTCTCAGAAAACTATCAGGTGGTGATGGCCTGAACACGAATAATTGAGTCATGTTTGTGAGCTGCAGCCTGCTGGCAGAAGAGGGAAGAAGAGGACTGGCTGTCCCAATGCAAAGATTACAGTCTGAAGTGTTTCAGGCATAAGGGGTATCTGTTGCAGTACGAGGTCTGTGCCAAGAAAGATCTGACAACATTTCCGGAGAGAAGCTGGCCCCCCATACTGCTGACACGATCTTGACTAGCACACACCTCTGTGCACTGTAAGCCCACCAAAGGTGAAGCCTGAACCTACATGGACACACCAGGTGTTTCACTTGTGTCCTCTCCAGAGACATGAGAATTGTCCCACAGACAGCCTGACCTAAGAACATGAACTGAATGGCAAACCCAGTGAGTTCTATAAAACCTTATGTTCAGTGCAGAAGCAGGCATCATCCATGAGCAAGGGCAGCTGTACTCAACCACGCAACCTCTTCCAGCTTTTCTGCCCTAATGTAGCACTGGTGACCCATTTCCTGGAAAATTCCCAGGTGATGAGTTCAATACACAAGTGAGGCTTTGGCAAAGTTGTGGTGCCAGCTGCACTCTTCCCATGTGAAGAATAGACACAGGTGTCTTCTGGGACCAGTTGACAGTGGGCCATCTGGGCCAAGTGAGGTCTTGAAAAAGACTAACAAGAGAGTGTAAAGTCAGAGGGGGAAGGGTGATGGCATTAGCCTTTCAGCCTCATAGAAATCAAGCTCTTCTTGGCAATTTTAGTCATTCAAACCTCCTACTTGGTCCTATGCCTCCATGGCAATCCAGGTGGGACTCTAATGGCTCAGAGGGTTTGGATATTCAGAGGTCTGTGGTTTTTAAAGACATGGTAGTTTTCTGGTAGAAGAGGGTAGACAGAGCCATTGTTCTGTGTTCTGTACAAAGTTACACTAGCAGCATTTCCCATCCCTGAAGTGCTTGTGCACCTTCTAAATTCTTGTATATAAATGCCAGAATCCAAGACTCTTTTCATTAACTTCTGCTTCTATTTCTAAATTTTTTAAATGGCTAATCGCAGCTGTCATTGTTGCCGAATGAACATTTACCGCCTCGTTGTAGCCTTTAGAAATAGATTTATCATGCAAATGCTGGTAGAATTTTAAGTATAGCTGAAATAATGGGTAGTACTGTAATAGCCTTCCCTAAGATGTATTGTGCCATAGCTGGCCACAACAGTCCAAAAATAGAATGATTGTTCTCAAAATCAGCAGCACACCCAATATGCGTTTCTCATCTCTCATCACAAGGGACACTTCTGTTTTGTACAGTCTGACTCTTTCTTGCCTAGATTTGACTGGTCACATGCCATGCTAAATTAGTGTGGTTTTTGGATCTTTTTGGGTTTAGTTATTTATGTCATTCCTTTTGTTATATTTTTTTCATTATTTACATTTACCTAAGAGTAGGACACTTCTTATACCAAATTATATCAACTGCCTGTACCACCTGGAATCCTGCTTTCAGGAGGGACCAAAGGAGATTTTTAGAGAAAAGCAATTAAAAACTGGGTACTACTGCAATGCAGGTGCAGAGGGAGCAGTGGGAATTCTCTCCAGACACTGTCCTCATGGTCAGCTTACACAGCAACTCATTGGCTACTCTTTCATTCCCTTGAATTGCTAAATATTTTTTTCATATTTTAAAGAATATAAATCCCTGTCTCTGAAGTGCAAACATGGTGCCTCTTGGGATGACTTCATAACTGCAGTGAGTTCCAGTGTATGAGACTGAAAGCTGCCCAGCCTTTTACAGATCTGAGAAACAGAGAACTTTCAGGACCCTCTGCCATGTGAATTTTAGACTGGAAGGGGTGGGCATTCTTCTTTGCACACTGGCTTACTTTCCTTTTAGTGAGTATGAGGTTCATTTTGGAAGATGAAGAAAAAAGTGAAAAGTCAGACTTCATATTTTTGCTTTTCAAGCTAAAAAAATTTGTGATACACAAAAAGAAACCTGAAGAAGAAACTGTGTGCCCAAACCACGGCTAACACTCTGTGGGTTTTTTTGTTGTTGGTATAGTAATTGTCTGACAACCTCTCCATAAAAATCCTTTCTCTTGTATAACTTTGGAGAATGACAAACTAAAATTCAGCTACTACAAAGGGCATTTTTTTCCTTTCACAGAAAAAGTGAGTGCCAATTCTTTCACCATTAGTGCCTTTTTTCCTTCAGAGGAACCAATACAATGGTACAGACACTGCCCATTAACTTTCTGGTAATTTAAATTCTTTCTTGACATACCAGATTTATCCATTAGGTCTAACACTATATTTGAATTTTTTAACCTGGCAGATGGAAATACGCAATTTATTCTCAGGAAACAACAACAAAAAACCAACAAAACCAAACTGTGTTTGCTGCTGCTGTTTGTGGGGGGTTTTGTTTGTTTGGTGGGGTTTTTTGTTTGCTTTTCAATTACTGTTTCTAAAGTTTGCTCCTCTCCAAAATAAAAAAAAAAAAAGCCACAATGAGGAACTAAAAGCTATGAGCAGCCAAACACACTCTGCCTAAAGTCAAGTGAGTAAGTCCTCTTCAGTGTGATGGGAGCAGGAAAGGTCCCTACAGATAAGAAATGTGGGAACAAGATTTTAACTCAATCAAATTTCCCAAAACTAGATACCACTTGCCAATGAACCAGGGGTGAGATGCCTTCTGTAAAGCAGAACATCAACACAATTTTTTAGTCCATATAGGCACTGAAGAATGCATCTGTGATTGCTTAAACATGGATCACACAATGTAAGGCTTACTGACTGATGAGAGACCACAGAGGGTGCCTAAGTAGAAGTAAATTCATTTCTTCTGCCTCATTATTTTTATATCTAAACCAACATCAACAGACTTAAAAGAAACTATAAAATCCTTATTTTTAAATTACAGTGTATATATTACAGTAAAATGTATATTAACAAATTGCCCTGTGTTAAAAGCCAAATATATCAGCTAAATTTCATAGAAGCCCAGTCTATCCAAAATCAAAACTTTGCATATAGGAACTTCCAGCTAAAGACCAGGTTTCAGACATTATTATATATCCTTAACTCCACAACTTTCATAAAATGCTGGGTGTTCAGATTAGGGGTATATTCTTTTGATTCATTAGCATCAAGTTTAAATTTGATGGGCATTTATGGCTGGAGACAGACTTCATGAGCAGATTTACTTTTTCCTTCAAGAAGAATGCTTTGATGTGCTGCTAATAATTTAGCCAATTAGAAAACTCATTTTAGAAATAGCGTAGATAATTAGCCATCCCTTTTTGCATCCTACTGCTCTTATCATCCATGTAACTTCTGGTAGATAGTCAAGAATCAACTACTGAATTACAAATTGTAATTAAATGGTTATATTAGGTTTCCAAAATAAATCTGTGCTACAAAATAAAAGATTTAGCTATACGAGAAAAAGTCCAAATCAACCAGGGCTAAACAACCAGGTGCATTCCAGGTGAAAAGAAAATAAATGGGGACATTTCACATCCACACAGGGCAGTTTCTGAGCTCATTTTTAAACACTTCACAGTTCTATATATAGAAGACTTCCAACAAAAAGTATTTTATGGTGTCATGGAAGGAAGGAGTTTCACTAAGTAGCCTGGCTATTCAGGTATCATTACAAACTGTACTATACTGCCTGCACAAAACACCCCTGAGATCAAGGCCCCATAACAATTGCTGCTGTGTGAAGAAAAAGCCTATATCTTAAGGAGCTTATCGTCTAAGTAGACAGACTATAATCAGAATGGTGTAAACCCAGCCTGTATGGCATTTAAGCTAGTAATTTTTATTAGAAGCTATTCTTCCCATAAAAAACATGTGGGCATGAAACTGAACCTGAATCTCAGCGCCCAGACAATCCTCCACGTGCTGTCTTTCAGTTTGCAGTAGCAGCATAAAACATAACTTTGCCCTGTAAGCCTCAATTTTCCCAAAACTGTAAGTTCTTTCTATTCTACTTTCCCACAGTGAAAGACATTCTATTCCAAAACCTGACCTAATATAAGCCTGTGCACTAAGCAGTACATGGCAGACTTACAAAAGAATTCACAGTTTCTGAAAATGAAGAAAATTTAGAACCGCACATATCTATAATTCTTTGTGCCACTTAGGAATAATTTGGTGCTTAAACAGTAATCATAACTTCGGAGTAAGAACTTAATTACTTGCTACAACCTTATTATTTACATAAACACGGTATGCCCAGTAAACTGTGCAACTGGGTGTTGAAATATGGCAGTGATTTCTCCACCCCAAAAGCTCACCAAGCAGCTGTACAGTGGCTATGGACAGTGGCTTTTGTGCCACTTCTAGAGATTTCTTAACATAAACCCCCAACTATAGCGAACGTACAGCATGCTCAGTGTGCTTACTGTAAGCCTTAATCCAGGTATGGAATGCTAATAGGAGTCATGTGCTATCTCCAGGCTGATTATTGACCATATTCAGGAGATCACACCCATAGATCAAGACTAATTCACCACCCTGGCATTCCGCAGTTCCCCAGCGTCCCTGCCAGGCCACATCAAATGT